GGAGCGCCGCCGCACTTCCCAAGCAGCGCACTATCCAGTGCGCCACCGGGCCGGCCCAAAGTTGGTATCCTTCTAATGAACCTCAGTTTGAACTGCCTTTGCTTTAGCAAATTCCTCTCAAGAACGTGTCCCTGAAATCAATGTAGTTTAGGGTTTTGGGTCTGGGGAGACTGTTCTCCACTATGTATTTCCTTGCCAGGTGTGTGTTATCTGTGGTAAGGTCCCCTGTTAAGATGATGATGGGGTGACCTTGGGAAGTGTCCCTCCCACAACAGCAGGAGTAGTTAAGAGCATGTATTCCACAGGAACCGCGAGTCGCTTAGAGCAGGAGCTCTGAGACACAGAGCTAATATCCCAGCGATGGCACCACTTTTCTTATGAGGGAATAATTGACCCATTTATGGTCTCATTTCAGCTTGTTGCAGATCCTTGCGCCAGCAACCCTTGTCACCATGGCAACTGCAGCAGCAGCAGCAGCAGCAGCAGCGTTGGCTACCTCTGCATTTGCAATGAAGGCTATGAAGGTCCCGACTGTCAACAGGCACTTCCCAGTCTCCCAGCCTCGGGCTGGACGGAGTCCATGGCCCCCAGGCAGCTTCAGCCTGTCCCCGTTACCCAGGAGCCTGACATAATCATGCCCCGCTCTCAGGCGACAGTGACACTGCCAACCTGGCAGCCGAAAACAGGGCAGAAAGTTGTAGAGATGAAATGGGATCAAGTGGAGGTGAGAATGTTGTATTGCATATATTTTTATGTAAAAACCAGGAAATGTTAAAATAATTCCAGTGATTCTAATATCAGCAATAAAAATTCAAGACCTTTAAATTACCCATTGAGCAAGACAATGTGCCTAAACTTGTTCCTGCCTGCACTTGTGTGTAGGATAGTTTTTTAATATAAAAAGAGTAAACAAGAAAAGAAAATGAATGAAATTATTTTCTGGAATGATATCCACATACATTTCTGTGAGATGATCTTAGATTTGGGGACAGACAGCTCAATGTACAGTCATATAGAGAAACATCTCACAGGACTCCTTCCTGGAGTATGCCTTTTGGGTTGCTATAACAAAAATGCCACAGGCTGGTGACTTGTAAATGACAAACATT